TGTGACTCCCTCTCTCTCTGACCCTCCCCTGCTCACGCTCTCTCTCTCTCTCCTAGAAATAAATAAAACATTTTAAAAAAATTAAAAAAAAAAATCAGACACTGGTATGGTAACCAAGAATGTAAATAAGATCAGATCTAACAATATTTCTCCCAACAGAGCTACAAGCATTCTTTATTATCTATATTCTTTAATATATTTATATTTCTTATTACACTGAAATTAAAACGAAAAGTTTACTTGTTTTTAAAATCTCCTTACATCAATTCATATAAAAACTGAGATACACTCTTTAATATTCTTACTTTTCAGATCTAGGGCCTTAAAAAGAAATTCCTCTTAGCTCTGCAGTAAAGAATGAGTTATTACACCTGATGTAAATAAGAATGAAAAAAACCCAAGAATGTATTCTCTGCTCCTTCACTTGACTCATTCTCCACTAATTTTCTAAATCATCTTTCAAATTCTAAATGGACTTATTGGCAGTTACTCAATTTCAGAAAATTTTTTCATAAAAAATATTAATGAGATGCCTACTTTTTCTCCTACATGGTATTTAGTCCTGCTTTTGGTATCAAAACAAATAAAACAGCTTCTACATGCCACAACAAAGCCTGGGATGATAACCATCAAGGTATTAATGATATTAACTTCTATTAGGAGAATCATGCCTGATTTTTATTCTTTTCTGGAGGGAACATTTGGCTTTATTTTTCTCTGGATTTTCTAACTTTCAAACTTGGAAGAAAACACAGTAAGAAAAACAACAAAAACAATTTTACTATACTTTACACTTAATTACAAATGCATTTACTTCTTGACCAACTAATTCATTAATTCTACTTCTAAGAATTTATTCCAATATATGCATATCTGTGATAGGACATATATACAAAGTTACTCATTGTATCATTTGTAATAGTTCATAAGCAGTGTAACAGCAGAACCAACCAAAATGGTCCTGGGTGGTTCAATACATTAGAGTCCACCTGTCCAATGCAGTGCCATGCGCCTGCCGGGAAGACAGGAAGCTTCCTCATACAGGCACTTGGAGGTAAATGCCCATATATGATCTACAGAAAACTGGCTGCATTCAGGAAGGCAATGGATGGGACTTTTTATTACATCTTTATATACTACTCTACAACAACATACAATTTTTACATATATATCTTACATACTGTGTTAAATATATCATATACTTAAGTAGGAAATAGATTCAATGCGTTTCATTGTATTTTATGTCATACCCTTTTGTACTTGCAAAATTCTAACCATGTACAAATATGTAACCAATTTTTTAAAAATACATTTTTCAGAAAATTCACTTCAGTTTTCCTTCCGGTAATTCCAGTAACCAGTGAGTTTTCCCATCCCAACTAACACCAAACTATAAAACTCGTATCACTCCAAATTTGGTTTAAGAGCATAAATAAAAACACAAATTCTACCTCCAAAAATCTGTCACCGGAGTGTCACAAAACCTTCATGAAAAAATACACAAACAGCACCTCGTTTGGTACTACATCTAAATGAATTAAGATAATGTTTAAGTACCAAAAGCATTTTGATTTTTAACACTGTTTCATGGATCCTCTTTAAACAGCAATCAGATATAACCCCATCTTGGCGACTCAGAGCCATTACTGAGATCGAATTCTAGTACATATTAGGATACATTTTTATATCCTTTTCCTTGCTGTTGTCATTCCACTGTTTGCCTTGACTCTTCAGTTTTCCCACGTATTAAGACAAAAGCCCCCCAAAAAGCCAAAACACACACTAAAAAAACCTCCTAATCTACTTAATGGCTGCCGGCATTACATTCTCGAGTTTTAAATTCACAGAGTCCTCACCACTTAACAGGTTTCCCACCATTACTCGTTCCCTCTCTCTGCCCTTGCCATTGCATTCCACTCTTCCCCGTAGGTGAAATAAACTTCCGACCAAATGGACTTGGGGCGTGATCCTGTGACTTGCCTTGGCCACGGAATGTAAGTGGACACGCTTTCACGGGCCGACCTGCCTGAGCTGCTCATGGTTCTCATCCTCTATACGGGGGCTGCACCTCCCCCCACTCCGCTCCAGAACAAGAGACTGGAGTCAAGAAGACAAGATGGGCTAAGCCCAGAAGAGCTGCATATGGGGGTTATGTAGAGTGAACCACTGAACTCAGGGGTTTATGTTGAGTGAGCCACTGAGCTGGGGGGGGGGGGGTGCGTATGCTGCCCAGGAGAAATCTAACTACTACACCACATGTACACAGTCACATTACTTCATTTCTTAGTTTCACTTGCTACCTCTTCAAATGGTGATCATCAGCTACCTCACACACTTGAAATAATGAGTGTACGTATGCAAAGTGCTTCACACAGTACCCAGGACACAGGAGACACTCAATGGTCATAGCACGTAAAATCCCTCTGACCTATCAGACAGGCAAGGTTCCAATAAATACGTTGTACGCAAGGACTTCCATCTCAGATGACAGGCTTCTGAAGGGAAACGCAGCAGCTTTCAAGGGACCAACTGCAAGTTTTGGGCCCATTTCTTACTGAGCAGTTGAAGGTACCAGAAACATGACCCCTGGTTAACATAGGAAAGGAGGTGACAAGAGGGTGGCTGTGTATTGTCAGACATAGTAAGCCTAACACCTAATGCACAGAACAATGACCTGTCGAAAAGTTGAAAATCTAGTTCCTTAAATGCCCAGATACCTATATTCAACCCTGGCTAAAGGAATGCGCACCAGTGAAACACAGGCCATGGAGTTACAGGAAGGTGCGTCTTAGCTATGACTTTTGTTAAAAAGGTGAAGACGCTAGTACGCATTAAACCTGAAACTCCCATCTACAAAAAGCTACATGAATGACGCTTTCTTGCTCCCACCCCGTCGGGGAGCACTCGGGCAGGCCTGGGCTTTGCGAGGGCCACAGGCTCAACCTGCCCTATAAAAAGACACACTCAACGTCCCACCCACTTCATTCCCTCATCTGATGGCTTCTATTGATGTCCGAGGAGAAGAGGGATCACCTTACAGTGACCCATTTCAGAACCAGATCTCCAGGAACGCACTTTGTTTCAAAACAGGGAATGGCCATGGCAGCCAGGCTCTACGGTATTTCACAAACTATTTGGGAATTGCTTACGAAGAAACAAGCCAGACTTTCTAACACCATTCTGAAACAGCAAGGCTCCATTTCCGGGAACAGGTTACTTGTTTTTGTTGTCGTTGTGAATTATTTTCATCACGCTGCTAAACACCAATTTTAACAAACACCTTTTCGAGAAAACAGTAGAAAATGTCTGATCGCTGAGCTACCCAAACATTTTTAAAATCTTAGTATAAACACATTGTTTACTAATAGAATCTACCCCTTAGGAGGTTTTCCAAACAAATGGGATATATTACAAATACTTATATCATCGAACTGGATAACTGACGATCATACCCCTAAAAAATGCCTCCCGAGTGGCTCAAAATCATTTCAAACCACATCAAAACTCTAAGACGTGTAAGAAAACCTGTCAAATTTCTCTGGCTTTATAGAAGCAAATCAAACTACTCTGAACATTTAGCGGCCCAGACTGTCTCACCCGTCATTTCTGGAGGGAAGTGCACTGAAGTGCTGTCCCTGATGGTCACCCGCTTGGAAAAGCATGCAGCGGTCGCTTAGGTCACGGTGACACACACCATGCGGATGAACGGCCAAGAATAAAAGCCAAATTAATTTTTTTCGAGAGGAAACCTGTTCTGACCAAAACCGTGAAGAAAGAAAAATTCTGACAACCATCAAGATTCGCATCTCTGCTCCGCAGCCGGCCTCAGCGGAGACCTATTCTACAGTCAAGCGGGTGCCTCCACCTGTCAGAAGCCACACTCAAACGCTCCATTACGTTAGTGTTAAAAGGCGAGACAAAGTCTATGCGACTCACTTGTTTTGTTGAAGGCAAAAGCACTGGCTACTTCCGAGTACCGTGGAATTTCACGTGTCCCTTCCACCGCTACTTCTGATCAACTGCATCTAGTGTTTTACCCCATCAGTTTTATGGGTTAATTACAATGCTGACAGGGGACTACTGGTCAGAAGCCCTCTATGACCCGGCCAAACTCACACACACGCTTGTTCTGAGGCATTCTACTGGCCACGAAGTTTAACGTGACCACAGATGCCTGAACTGCATTTCTTTTTGTGAAATTCGAGTCCAGATTTCTTATTCCGCCTGAACTCCTTTTCTCCCGAGGGGTACCAAGGAGCGACATTCTACAGGGTTACACGCAACCATCTCCGGGGTCACCCGGTCTCCCCACGGGGGTTTTTACCTTCTCCAACCTCTCGAAGTACTCCCTGAGGAAGGCCATGGGCCGCTCGGGCCGCGCGGTGCACAGCTGCACGATCGAATCCTTGAGCAGCGCCTGGATGTTGTGCTTCTGGACGTAGAGCTCGCACTCGCGCAGGCTGCGCTCCTCATCGCTGGTGGTGCTGCCGGACGCCATGGCTGCCTGCGGCCGAAACACACACACATAGGTGGGCCCAGGCAGGCGACTGGCGAGGCTCAGATGCGGATCCGGCCTCTGAATAAACTCATCAACTCATCAGGCAACGGACGCACAAGAACTTTTTTTTTTAAACAGGGAGATGGGGGTTGGGGAATGTGTAGAGAAATCGCATCTTTTCCAAGAAGTGCTTCCTTTAGTTTAGATCCCTCCAGGATCTAGTTCTGCAGGCAGCAACAGGGAGAGGCAGGACCTGAGCTCCTGGGAGAAGTATGAGCCACTCTCCCCTGCAGAGGCGGCCCCGAGGGGCCAGGCCCTTAAGGGAATTTCAGTCAGTTCTCCCCCTGCAAAAGAATCATGATGACGTGGGAAGTGTGCAAATGGTAAACAGGACGGAGAATTACAAGGGCACCCAGGTCCGGTCGGCTCTAAGCAAAAGCAAGTAAGCACTAGGAAGGGCTTCTGACATTCCCTGTACCTAACTCCTGTCCTGGGGGAGTGTCCTAACATCACCCAGCAAACCACTGGGGCAAAGGATCCCATCAGCCAACTACTAGCATCACCAAAATTTTTAAAAACACTAAATGAATTCCAGACGACCTTTAAAAGCAACCTTTTGTAATCCAGATTCTTTTATATAATTCCAGCCCTAAATGGTAACATACACACTGGTAAAAGAAGATATCCTTAACAGAAAAAAAAAAAAAAAAAAGCAAAAACAGAAGAACCTTCCCCAAAAAAGTCATAAAAAATTCAGGCAGGTAAAGATCAAAACATTTTCTTTGGCTGGATTAACAAAAATGCTAGAACAAGTTAAAATTTAAATTTACATGAAGATAACAATAGATTAGTTGCATTTAATGAATTTTAGAGGATTCAAACTACCTTGATGTAAAGTAAAACAAGTAGAAATACAATAGCAGCTAACTTTACCCTGGAATTTAAAGCTTAGCAATTTCACAAGTCATAAACTATTTTCCTTCCAACTCCTAATTATTAAGCCAGTAAGATTAGAAAACAAAATCGAGGTCCTCTCCCCTCCCCAACTGAATTTAATACACATCAGTCTTTTCCAAATATAATGCGCACCCAATCAGACAGAAAATTGTAAGTTTAAAAGAAAAAAGAAATACCAGAGTAAAGAGCCAGAGTGCTACTCTGTTATTCATTTTGTTTTGACAACTTTCATGATAAAGGTCAATAACAAGCAGACTAATTAAACAGACCATGAGAAAGTCTGTAACTCCCTGACAAGCACATAAATTAAAAGCCACAGAAAAAGAATCCTGCTACTTCAGAAATACACAATTAAAAGAAAAAAAGGTTCATTAATTTTGGATTTATAACCAGCCACTTTTACAGGTCAGATAAGTCATTTGAACTGATAATCCACGTCAGTGAATTTTCTGCATTTCAAATAACATCAAAGGGCCCCAAGAACGATGATAAATCAGATCTTTTATGCTCCAAAACATTCATATTTCAGTAATATCAATCCATGTATTCAACTGATCAGAGAAATCATTCAAATATCACGTCTCCGGCTGGTAGAAATGAAAGAACTGGGTCTAACAAGTGAAACTGGCCTTTTGTTTGAAACAAACTACTAGTTGGTGTTCCTGAGGCAGCAAGTTAACAACAAAAAAAACCGCCCTAAAATTAATGCAGTCACCATGTGAACCCCTTAATCCAAACTTCAGACTCTTAGTATTTTTAATCGAATATACTCTGCATCGTACTTTTTTAAAACTAAGAGCCCAACAATTTGGCTCCCCCCCCTCCGCCCCCTGCAAAATGATTTAACTCCTTTTAAACTTTCACTGCCCTGTACCTAATCCTAAGAAAACTCGGGAATTTTTTTTTTCTTTTGTAAATTCAACTGTGATAAAATTCAGTTTCAACAGGATTACTCGAGAGGAAATATTTAACACACTTTTGAGAAACTTGCTGATTCAGAGCGCAGCCCCTCAGACCGGCCAGAAACACTTCCTCTGGGTCATCCTGAGGAAGTGTTCGCCTTCTTTCCTCTGCGAGAAAGACCAATCGCTTGACAATCCTTCAAAGCAGCTGTTTGGCAGGACACCGGCACTGCGCTGCAGGGGTTAATAGGTACCACGGACTTATTTCCGAGAGGAAGGACGGGAGGGTGCCTTTCACTTCACTCGTGCCGCAACCATGGCCACAAAATGAAAAAGGGAGGCCTATCCTTTCTTCATCCTACTCTCGTCGGAAGGCCGCGACGGTGGCGAAAAGACGGGGGGAAGGGCGGGGACGCGGATCGGGAAAGGGGAGGTGAAAGGGGACACAATGAAATTCAGGAGTCAAGCTAAAATCAAGGGGTGGGGGGAGCCCAGGAAGGCTTCCCCAGGGAAAGAAAACCACCGCTGGAGATGACAAGGGGACACGGGAAAGAAAAACGAGACCCGCCGAGTCTCAAGATCAGCCAGCGGTGCTAGGGGGAACGATGGCGGATTCCAGTAAAATCGAACTGATGTCCTTCAGGAAGGCGGGGGAGGGCGAGCGAGGAGGCCGCGACGCGCGGGAGGGAGGCGGCAGGGGCGCAATGGCCGCGGAGGGCCGGGGGCCGCAGCAGCCGCCGAGCGCCGGGAGCCCGCGCGGGCGGGGCGGCCGGTGAGCCCCGCACCGGAGCAGCCCCCGGGGGGCCTCGGAGCCGCAGACTCGGGGCCGGGGGCGCGGCCCGGGGCGTGAGGCCTACGGGGAGGCGCCCGCTGGGGCCGGGGAGGGGCTGGGGGTGCGGCCATCCCCCTGCAGGTCGCTCCCCGTGACGCCATCTTGGATCGGTCCAGCGCCCCCAAACGGGCGGCGGGGCGGCGAAGCTCGGCGCGTCGGGGCCCCCTGGCCGACCCCACTCACCTGGGGACGAGCGGCGAGGGACACGGGGCGGCGGGTGCGAGGATACGGCCGGCTGAGCGGTCCTGGCGCTTCCCTTCCAGCCCCGCTCTAGTCTGCGATAGCGGCTCCGCGGCGGCTCCACCGGAAACGACCCGGCCGCAACCAATCAGCGCTCGGCTGCTGACGTCAATGCGCCTCGGTCTGGCCAGAGCCGTCGCCTTGGCAACCTTAAAGGCGCGGCGGCCCGGGTTCCTCTCTCGCCCCCACCCCCACCCCTTCGAAGGACCCTTGCCCCTCCACGCCCTAGAATCGTTCTTCGGCTCTTCTTCCAAATCTAACCTCACGCCTCATTCGCAGCCCTTTCCTCCCACCCGCCTGTTATCCTTCCCCCGCTTCCTCCAGCCCGGGGCTTCCCGCCTTCGATTCACCTGCCGCCCTTACCTGTCCCTGTCTGGGCACCACAGGTCCCCTTTATCCTTCCCTCTGCTCTCCGCTCGTCCTCGGCGCGGCTTCGGGGAGCTCCGCGGTCCGCTCGGCCGCTCGCCTCCACGCCTCACTCCGCCCCGCTCTCGCTCCCGCCCCGCTCGCCGCCTCTGCCTTTTCTCCCTCCCTGCAGCCCCCACCCCCTCCCCGGGCGGACCCACGTGGGGCGTCTCGGATGACAGGTGGGCGACTCCGCCCCGCGGCCCCTTGCTGGGGGACGGCACGCGGCCGGGGTGGGGAGATCCCTGCCTTTCCAGGCCCCGGAGGAGGCGGCGACCGCGGCGGATCTGCGGCCGCAGCTGCTGCTCGGAGCGAGCGCGGGCGGATGCCCAGGATGCGCACAGCCGGCCGCGCATCCTGTGCCCGGCCTGCGCGGCGCGGGCCTCCGGGCACCGGCCCGCCATCCGGTGCAGGAAACCCGAGCCCTGCCAAGTGTCTGCTCGGCGGATCGGGCTGCTCTCCCCTCCTGGGGTGCTGTCGTCAGTGAGGCCAAGCCGTCCCTGCGGGCCCCAGACACTGAGAAGGACTTGCCAGGGTGCTTCTAGAACCTGAAATGCTCCCCCATCATGCCGCCTGGCCCGGCCTGGGGAGAAGTTACAAAGGGTGCAGATAGGCGGCAACCCCTCTGTGACCACACGAGAAATCTCAACTGCCTGCAAAAATCACCCATCAAGGATGATTCGGATTCGAGGCGGGGGGAGACAAGGCGGCTCCTTTACTGCTTCGGCCATTTTTTCCCATCAGGGTGTCTGTCCGTAGAAGGAAGAAAAGGGGAGCGGGAGACAGTTGTAGACCTAGAAAGTCGCAAAATGGGTACAGAAGGCCTTTGGAGAACACGCGTCCCTGTGGCTGATACCTGTTGTTATCACACGGTGTACACCGCTAGGACTGTGTGTCAAACGCAAACGTGGATTTAACACAACACAAAAAATAGACACAAACATCTCACTAATAATTTTTATGTTGATTCCAGGTGGACATGGGTAATACTTTGGACAGATTAGGTTAAATGTTATTACAATTAATTTCATCTTTTTTTATTTTTAAACGTAGCTATTAGGAACATTTTCACTGCATATGTGGCTTACGTTATGTTTCTGTTGGACAGCACTGCCCCAGCGGGTCATCTGCGCCCCTCAATCCACCAGGCTATGCTAAGGGTCCTGCTCATTAGAATATTTCTGTTATTTAGTTATGGTTAGTTTTGCTTTTTGAAAGACAGAAGCAGCACAGGCACCATCATGGGAAAGGCTGATTGGGCCTACAGGAGGGAAAAATAGAAGGGAAGTTTCTCCTCCACCCACTCCCCAGCTTGTTGACCGCTGGCCTTCCGCCAGGGATGGGTGGAATGGGGGATTATAGACAGAGCTTCCTCATATAGGATTTCACCCTTGTCAGTACAAAGAAGGGCTAATAAACTGAACCCAAAGCTGGCATGCAGAAGAGGGAATTTGATAGCATCAAGCAGGCCCAGTCATGTTATGAGGAGAAAACACGGCAGTCAGATAAATCTGAGTTTGGTTTCAGGCTCTGCCACCTCCGGTAACTGACTTAATCTCCATGAGCCTCAGTTTCCTCAATCGCAAAAGGATATGAAGGGCTGTGTCAAAATGAATTAATAAAGCTGATAATGGCACACATGTTCATGGCACACATAATAATTAGCTTAATCCTCATAGTAACCCAGAGGTAGAGGTATTGTTGCTGTTACCGAAGGAAAACAAGGCAGGGCATTCAGGTATGTGCCCAAGACCACATGGCTAGTGTGGCTCACACCCAGGCAGAGATCTTAACCACTCATTCTCCTTGGCAGAATATATACAAATAAAGTGCCCGCCACAGTGTGGGATACAATAAGTGCAAGTTTACTTCCCACTTCTTCCTCTTCCTAAAGAGCCACCCAAACTACCAGGTTAAGACTGAGTTGTCCTGCATCATATCGTTAGTGTTACCTTCCTAACACGGTCAAGATACTTAGACCAGGGAGCCGAGCAATCCGGGGACATGGAGCTCAGCGCTTTGAGGGTCAACTGCTTCTTTGCTAAGGGCTGGGTGTGTGTGTGTCCCCATTCAGCTTCGTTCAGGCGCCAGTCCAGCCACGGACCATTTCCTGTGTCAGGGGTGCTCAACCTTGTTCTCGCTGCCAAATCCTCCTATGCTGGGGCTTTAAAAGATAAAAGGGGAAGCAGGCAGTAGAGAGTTGAGCTCAGGAAGAGGTCACTGAGACAGCTGCTCTGAAAAACCGACCAGCATCCGTGGGGTCCACATGGTGCAAATGCTCTAGTTACAGCTCAGTAGCACTGTAACTTTCAGTAACAAGTTGAGAGTTACAACTTGTAGATTGCATTTCAGAAGTTACCGTTGTTCGGCTGCAGTTTCTGTGTGGCTGTTCCTCTCCAGAGGCCTTCTGCCCTTGATTCTAAGGTCTGCAAGCCTTTCCTTTGGCCTGTGTCCCCAGAAAAACTCAAGAAAATGTGTTTCTAGGGCAGTGGGGTTATAAGTAAATTTTTCTCTTTTTTTATTTTTATTTTTGCTTTTTTATTTTAGCGAGAGAGCATGAGCACATGAGTAGGGGCGAGGGGCAGAGGCGGAGAGAGAGAATCTTAAGCAGGCTCCACGCTCAGTGCAGAGCCCAGTGCAGGGCTCAATCCCACAACCCGGGAGTCATGACCTGAACGCACATCAAGCATCGGATGCTCAACCAAGTGAGCCACCCAGGCACCCAAAATTTTTCTCTTAAAAACAAATCCCTTAAGGGGCACCTGGGTGGCTTAGTCAGTTAAGTGTCCGACTTTCGCTTAGGTCATGATCTCATGGTTTGTGGGTTCGAGCCCCGCATCAGGCTCTGTGCTGACTGCCAGCTCGGAGCCTGGAGCCTGTTTCAGTCTGTGACTCCCTCTCTCTCTGACCCTCCCCTGCTCGCGCTGTCTCTCTCTCTCTCCTAGAAATAAATAAAACATTTTAAAAATTTTAAAAAAAACAAAAATAAATCCCTTAAAAAGAATCCCTTAATTACTGCTACAGTGTTTCTGAAATGATAGCAAACAATTTTAAAAGCAAAATAAATAACAGTGGTGCAGGAGCCCCTGAGCAACTCAGTAGGTTAAGCATCTGACTTTGTCTCCCGTCATGATCCCCACCCTTTGTGAGTTCGAGTCCTGCGTCAGGCTCTGTGCTGGCAGTTCGGAGCCTGCAGCCTGCTTTAGATTCTGTGTCTGCCTCTCTCTCTGCCCATCCCCTGCTTATGTTCTGTCTCTCTATCTCTCAAAAATAAATAAAACATTTTAAAAAATAACAAGAGTAGGACTAAGGGAGCCCATACATGAAAGGAAGGAATATTTTGGTGGCCCATTTCTTCTGTTTCTTATGCTTACAGTTTCCATTGGCTAAGGACAGATCCACACGGTTCAGATTTCCAAGGAGAACTTTTCAGACTATCACCACTCATTTGTAGTGCACGATAGTGCTGAGTATTTATGCTTCTTGTGGAACCCAAGGTTGTGATTTCAAACATAACCCAAATCCAGCAAGCATTCAAGTGCCAAAAGCCTTCCTACGTTTCTCACTAGCAAATGCTTATCTAAACTGAGAAGGGGTGGGGCGCCTGTGTGGTTCAGTTGGTTAAGCGTCCGACTTCCGCTCAGGTCATGATCTCTCAGTTCGTGGGTTCAAGTCCTGCGTCAGGTTCTGTGCCAACAGCTCAGAGCCTGGAGCCTGCTTCGGATTCTGTGTCTCCCTCTCTCTTTCTGCCCCTTCCCTGCTTGCACTCTGTCTCTGTCTGTCTCAAAAATAAATAAACATTAAAAAAATAAAAATAAACTGAGAAGGGGTGAGCATTAATTGAAAATATTAACCACAAAACCAGAAATCCTGGGTCTAATACAAAGAGTTTTCCAAATGAAAACATCTTCATCAAAAACGTATCTTCATCCAAAATAGTGTATTTCAAACCACAACGTTCAACCAGAGAGATAGAGAGTTGTATTAGTCAGGTATATAGAGAGATTTATGTTAAGGATTTGGCTCAGGTAATTGTGGGGGGCTGGCAAGTCCAATGTCTGCAGGGTATGCCAGCAGGATAGAAACCCAAGGAAAGGCTGATGTTTCAGCCTTGAGTACAAAGGCAGCCTGGAGGCTGAACTTCCTCAGGGAACCTCAATCTTTTCACTTAATGCCTTCAACTGATTAGGTGAGGCCCACCCATGTTAGAGAAGGTACTCTGATTTCCTCAAAGTCTGCTGACTTAAAGGTCAATCACATCTAAAAATGACCTTGTCCACACCATCCAGACTTGCATGTGACCAAAAACTGGGTACTGAGGACTAGCCATCAAAAGCATGAATCAAATCAAGCCCAGATATCTGTATGAATCTTTTCTAAATATTCCTCCTCTGGACATCAACCTCCTATGCCTATGCTCTTTTTAAACTAATGCTAACTTTATATCAGTAGGTCATGGACATGAGGCTTAAAAAAAAGATAGCAGTGATGGGGCACTTGGGTGGCTTAGTCAATCGAACATCCAATTCCTGGTTTCAGCTCTGGTCATGATCTCATGGTTCATGAGATCAAGCCCACTGTGGACTCTATGCTGACAGTACAGAGCCTGCCTGGGATTCTCTCTGTCCCTCTCTCTCTCTGCCTCTATCTTGCTCTCAAAATAAATAA